CCCGGGCCCCCGCCCTGGTAGCCATGGTGTCCCCTGTCCCTGTGGCCACCAACATCCCTGGCCCCATCCTTGGTGGCCCTGGTAGCCCCATCCCCAGCAACTCCAACATCCCTGGCCCCATCCCTGCTGGCCCCTGTACCCATCCCTGGTAGCCCTGGTGGCCCCATCCCCAGTGGCCACCAACATCCCTGTCCCCAGCCCTGCTGACCTTGCTGGCCCCTGGCCCCATCCTTGGTGGCCTTAGTAGCCCCATCCCCAGCAGCTCTGTCCCCATCCCTGCTGGCCCCTGTCCCCATCCCTGGTGGCCCCTGTCCCAGTGGCCACCAACATCTCTGTCCTCATCCCTGGTGGCCTTGCTGGTGCTGCTGGCCCCTGTCATCATCCTTGGTGGCCCTGGTAGCCCCATCCCCAGCAGCTCCAACATCCCTGTTCCCATCCCTGCTGGCTCCTGTACCCATCCTGGGTGGCCCCTCTCCCAGTGGCCACCAACATCCCTGTCCCCATCCCTGGTAGCCCTGGTGGCCCCATCCACAGCGGCCACCAACATCCTTGTCCCCATCCCCAGTGGCCACCAGCATCCCTGTCCCCAGTCCTGCTGACCTTGCTGGCCCCTGTACCCATCCCTGGTGGCCCTGGTGGCCCCATCTCCAGTGGCCACCAACATCCCTGTCCCCATCCCCAGTGGCCCTGCTGGCCCCTGTCCCAGTGGCTTCAACATCCCTGGCCCCATCCTTGGTGGCTCTGGTGTTGCCCATCCCTGGTGTCCCTGCCATCCCCCTGTCCCCATCCCTGGTGGTTCCAGTGTCCCCATCCTTGGTGTCTTCATCATCCCTCATCCCTGTCCCTGGTCCCTCCACCCTCCCAGTCCCCATCCCTGGTCCCTCCACCATCCCAGTCTCCATCCCTGGTGGTTCCATCATCCCAGTCCCCACCCCTGGTGACTCCAGTGTCCCCCTAGCACCATCCCAGTCCCCACCCCTGCTCCCTCCACCACCCCAGTCCCCACCTCTGGTGGTTCCACCAACCCAGTCCCTACCCCTGGTGGCTCCAGTGTCCCCCTAGCACCACCCCAGTCCCCACCCCTGGTTCCTCCACCATCCCAGTCCCCATCCCTGGTGGCTTCAGTGTCCCCCTAGCACCACCCCAGTCCCCACCCCTGGTTCCTCCACCATCCCAGTCCCCATCCCTGGTGGCTCCAGTGTCCCCCTAGCACCACCCCAGTCCCCACCCCTGGTTCCTCCACCATCCCAGTCCCCATCCCTGGTGGCTTCAGTGTCCCCCTAGCACCACCCCAGTCCCCATCCCTGGTTCCTCCACCATCCCAGTCCCTACCCCTGGTGGCTCCAGTGTCCCCCTAGCACCACCCCAGTCCCCACCCCTGGTTCCTCCACCATCCCAGTCCCCATCCCTGGTGGCTTCAGTGTCCCCCTAGCACCACCCCAGTCCCCATCCCTGGTTCCTCCACCATCCCAGTCCCTACCCCTGGTGGCTCCAGTGTCCCCCTAGCACCACCCCAGTCCCCACCCCTGGTTCCTCCACCATCCCAGTCCCCATCCCTGGTGGCTTCAGTGTCCCCCTAGCACCACCCCAGTCCCCATCCCTGGTTCCTCCACCATCCCAGTCCCTACCCCTGGTGGCTCCAGTGTCCCCCTAGCACCACCCCAGTCCCCACCCCTGGTTCCTCCACCATCCCAGTCCCCATCCCTGGTGGCTTCAGTCCACCATCGGACCTCGGGGGATGAGGGGTGCGAGGGGCA